AGAGGTGCTGCAGCACAGGCAGTATGAGAAAAATAAAGAGCTTTTTGAACATTAAAGCATGGAGACATGTCAGAGAAGTGTCACAAAGTACAACTATGAACCTGAGCATATGTATAACAGGGACCCTTTCATGCATTACAAATTACAAATATGGAATTATAGATGTGGCAATCATCATATTGTAGCTTAAGATAATAACATCGCCTGCAGTTCTTGGATAAAAAAAGGCAATTAATGCAAAGTAACTGCTAATTCTGCAATATCATTTTTATGAGATTTCCAGAGAGAGAGTAATGTGCTATTTAAAATAAAATCTGAAATTGAAAAAAGATGCAGAGGCACTCTGGGAAGCAGACTGGCCGTCATCAACTTTTGATGGTGGGAGAATCAAACAGGAGGTCCAGTTTGCCTGTTCCTCTGACTCGTGTTAATAGACACACACACACACACACACACACACACACACACACACACACACACACACACACACACACACACACACACACACACACACACACACACACACACACACTCATTCTGCGTGTAGACCTATATCAAATAGGAGCATATCAACCTGTATTCCTTATCAAACAGGACTTCCACCATCACACATCCTGGAACAGATGATACTATGGCTTAATGTTTGCAAAAAAACAACCACTTGATGACAAGAAAATTACATAAGCCTACCGCCTGTGAAACAATATATTACATCATATCGCTGTATACTTGCGTATCTAATTACGTGAGCCTACCATAGGTGATGAAAAACATATTACACCTTATCGCTGTGAATGGACGAACTGTTCTCAAGATTGTACATGTTTTCAAAAAACCAAAGTGTTCTCATTAATAACATCTCCTTGTGCATGCTATTCTAAAAAACAATTTTAACAATGTATACCTTTTTAAAAACTGATGGGTACATGCTTAAGTGACACATATGACAATCTAGACAGGGGTGTCAATCTCAATTTCATCGTGGGCCACATTTGAATGATGGTTGCTCTCAAAGGGCCGGTTGTAACTTTATAAATATATAATATATATATAAAATAATGTATTATATTACAATATTTCCTCTGCATTGGATTATTATCATAGGGTAATCACTTAATTAACTACGTCTGAAAGCAGAAGTCTAGGGCAAATAATTGCTAGTCTCTTCAGTGCGCATCTCAAAAAATGAGATGCATTGTGGGACATGTAGTTTACGGGCAACGTGATCCTGTAAAGCAGCACGTAACCTTATAATAAATGTAGTATACTCTTGTGGGCCACATCAAATTAAGTGGTGGGCCGGATTTTCCCGGACCTTGAGTTTGACACCCCTGATTCTAGTACATCCTGAAACATTCAACCTTACATATACTCTTTTCTCTCTTCTCTTCTTTCTAGACGGACAGCAAATCTGGGAAATGGAAGCGACAGTAGACAAAGACAAGAGCCAGCCCGTATGTATTAGAAACGTGATATGTTGAATAATTGCATAATACCTGTAAAACAAACCGGTTATCAGTTGTCATGCTTGATTCAAACCTAAAGGTCAGTTTCAGGCTATAACAGAGCATTGTCTTGTCTTGCAGAGTATGCTGTTTGTGGAGGTGCCGTCCTACCAGGACTCCTCTGTCTGCCATCCTGTCAAAGTCAACTTCTACGTTATCAATGGCAAGAGGAAGCGCAGTCAGCCTCAGCACTTCGCTTACACACCACTGGCATGTAAGAATGCTGCTCAGCCTCTTTGTGGTGTGCTTAGTAGGGAATACCAGGGTTGGGAGGGTTAATTAAAACATTTATCCTGTTACAATTACTAGCTTTCTATGAAAATGTAACCTAATCTAAGTATCACCAAAAGTAACCACATTGCCTCTGTTGCTTTTTCCAATAACCCAAATATCAATATATAATTTCTATTTCTATTTTATTTGTATTACTTGCACTATTTTAACTATTTTGTCTGTTTTTATTATGTTGCACCGCTGGAGGAGGCTGTGACCTAAGATTTTCATTGACATATCTACACTGTAGCTATGTACACATCACAATAAAAGCCTTGAATCTTGAATATCAAATACAATGCTTTCTACTTCCTCACAGCTCCTTCCATCAAGACGGAGCCCCTGGATGAGTATGAAGCGGACCACATGGGTTTTGCCATGCCTCAGATCCTGGGTCTATCCCCTCATTCCTACTACCACACCCCCCGCAGCGCGCTCCACCCGGACAGCGGCCTGGTCTCCAGCCTGGCCTCTTGCCAGCGCCTCAGCTCCAGCCTCCCCACCCAGGACGCTCGCTTCCAGCAGCAGAGCCCGGCCATCGTGTTCTCCCGCGGGGGGAAGAGTGTGAGCGGCAGCCCCAACCTCTACCAGCAGACCGGGGGGATGTTGCCGGACTCCCACCGCTCGGTGCTGGTCCACACGGGCTCCTCTGTGGGGCCCATCAGTGTTGGCCAGCCCTCCATCATCCAGTTCTCCCCCACCAACCACCAGGTGCTTCGGGGAGGAGACCCTGATCCACAGGAGATCATCTACTGCGACGGCTACTCCCCACAAGCAGCAGCAACCGCACACTCCCCCACTCCCCCCCAGGTGCCCCAGCCTCAGCATTACTCCACCGTGATCCAGCAGCAGCCATTGGTGCAGAAAGGGCAGCAGAAAGGAAGAGATCCGCCTGGCACGGGGCAGATGGATGCTGACGGGCAGCGGAGGGTGACGGTGAAAGAGGAGAACCTGGACCAGGCCTACCTAGATGATGGTGAGTGTAAGTTCATGCTTTTATACTCTGTGCGAATGGTGTGTGTGTGTGTGTTTATGAGAGGTGGAAGAAGGACTTAGGACTTGTACTTGAGTAAAAGTAGAATACTCTGTTACAAGTGAAAGTCCTGCATTCAAAATGTTACTGTGAAAGTACAAAAGCATCAAAAGACACTTAAAGTACCAAAAGTAGAAGTACTTATTATGCAGATTGGTCAATTACAGAATAATGCAAGTGCTATGTTTTGGTTGTAATTATTGATGCATTAGAGTGTTATTAAAGCTGGGAAAGGTGCAGCTTAAGCATCATTAAACTAAATCTGCAAAGTAAATAAAGGTATTCAATAAAGTTAGTGGAGTAAATAATATACCTACTGTACCTCTGAATGCAGTGGGGTAGAAGTACAAAGGAGCAATTGAAGTAAAGTACAAGTACCTCAACATTTGAGGTACTTGTGGTTACTTTACACCTCTGGTCTTTATCAGTGAAGGCAGACAAGTGATGGATCTGCTCAGTTCCTTTTTTGACCCGCCATCAGAGATTTGACGATTCCTAAGAACAATTCAAGGATATTTACAATAAGATCTGCTTGCTATAGTATCCCTCTGAACAAAGCAAAAAGAAAAAGTCCTCGTACTGTTAAAACAATCCTCCCTAGGAGGTGTAATTATGTTCCACTCAAGGTGGAAATAACAGGGATTATGAGTCATGTGTTTATACTTACTCTTGTCAACCCCATTACCCTCTGACAGAATTAATGTCAGGCCACATCCAGCAGGAGGTTGGACGTCTTCCTCACTTTGGAGTTAAGGGTTCTCCAAACTGTATTGTTTTACAGTAAAATCACTGTGTGTGTGTGTGTGTGTGTGTGTGTGTGTGTGTGTGTGTGTGTGTGTGTGTGTGTGTGTGTGTGTGTGTGTGTGTGTGTGTGTGTGTGTGTGTGGGGTCAGGTGAGGTAAATGCAGATTGGGGTTGTCATCGTGTTGCTCCGTTCAGCAGCGTTCACTCTGTCGGTCGCAGGGGTTCGCCTGGCAGCGCCACACATCAGGAAATTGGTTTTTTTCTTTCTCGCATTAAAGGCAGAGAGCAGGGGGATAAGAAAAATGTCGCTCTCCTGACCGCCTGGACATGTTGACACTGTTATGAAGTTAAAAAACAACCTCCATGGCAACCATTGTCAAACAGTGGAACGGGCTGCCTGGGAGAGCTGGGGAAAGCCTCTTTGTTTGTTATAGTTGGCCGGGGCTTCTCCTTGGCCTTACGCCCCTCGATTCAGTGAGGGGAACCCACCAGAGGATTAGATTTTTTTCCGACCACTGCATTCTGCCAATCTGGCACTAGAAATTCCTATTTGCAGCTGCTCCCCTTCAGAAATCCAGCCTGATCCCTGTAAGATAGCGGGAGGGTAGAGGGCAGTTCGCAGGAAAGTGTGTGTGTGTGTGGCCTAGCATTACTATACTTCTGGGGACCTAAATCTGTTTACATAGTCACGTGTGGGGACTCGCCTCCCTTATGGGGACAAAATGGAGGTCCCCATGAGGGGAATCATTAATTTGAGGGTGAAGACTTGGTTATGTTTAGGATTAGGGTAAGGTTAAGGGTCAGGGTTAGTCATGTGTTGGTTAAGATTAGGATAAGTCTCCAGGAAATGCATGTAAGTCAATGTAATGTCCCCTGAATGTGTGTGTGTGTGTGTGTGTGTGTGTGTGTGTGTGTGTGTGTGTGTGTGTGTGTGTGTGTGTGTGTGTGTGTGTGTGTGTGTGTGTGTGTNTTCTCATACTGCCTGTGCTGCAGCACCTCTTTTCACCCTCTGTCTGAAACCAGAGCCCAGTATGCTCTGATTGGTTAAATGGCCGGCTCTGTTGTGATTGGTCAACCGCTTAGAGATGTCCCGCCCCTTAGCCAATCACATAGAATTTGTTCCAGCCCCTGTTTATTCTCTTAAAGGTGATAATCCGCCCACCCACATCATGGTAGAATATCATTAACGAGGAAAAAGTCGGGACTTCCCGATATTCAAAACATTTTATAAAACAAACGGTGAGAAGATGAGCGGTGTCAAAAAAATCCCCTCGGTGTTTGCCTGCAAAGGTGTCGAAATAAGATCCTGACCACAAAACAATCATTCAAGTTGGGAGCATCAAACAGTTTTTCACCAAAGTGAGATGTCAACATTACTCATCGAGACATGTGTTTCAGTGTGTAGTCATTTTAGACAGAAGGAGGATGCCACATCCTGGTATCGTCACAGTGTTGTGGTTGATAACTGTCACATCTGAACATGCCTTAAGTGTGTCAACTTGAGTTAAGAGTGTTAAATGAAAGTCAGGTATTTGGTGCCAAGACTCCCACACAAACAGTGTATATCATCATGCCTCACGTAAATTCCCATGCCTCATGTTGGTGCTCAAACGAGACAAAATCAGTTGGTAGAGAAATAAATTCAATAGGCGCGTTCACACCAAGTACTTTTCCCACAAAGGTTCCTGAGAACTACGATTTAGTTGTGTTCACACCAAACAGTCCCAGGAACTAAATTAGTTCTAGATAACCTTTTTTACCCCCTTCTTCAGTCCCTGCTAGAGAGCAGGGACTTTCGTGGGAGAAAAAGGTTCCTGTGTCTGATTGGCTGGGCGGAATGCAAACCACGCCCCGTCAAACTCCCAAAAACTTTTGTGAAGCCGCCATTTTATTATCCTCGCATTGCATTATTAGCATTAGCATTAGCCCAGCGCAGAAATGCAGAGAGACTAACTTATGGCAACACAAAATAAAACATGGGAGCGGTGGAGATGAGGAGGTGTCGGCGTTCTGGCCGTTTACTCGGAAGGCTTCAGTAGAAGCTGCTGGGAGTCCCAGCAGCTTCTACTGAAGCCAGTCCCTAACTCCGGGGACTTCCGGCCGGGGATTTTGGGCGGCAGTATACGCTGCGAAGTTGTTTGCGGCCTGTCAGTAAACCCAAAGCAGAAGAAGAAGAAGTGACGTCAGGGGCTTCATTTGCCTAATCCTCCCCCAGGAACTAATTTCCGGTGTGAACGCGATCTGTCCTTAGTTCATGAGAACTAAAGTGGGGAAAGTACTTGGTGTGAACGCGCCTATTATATCAAATTAAAAAAAGATACCTATATGAGCCTGCCTTACCGTTAGACTACAAAGGTCAACAATGTCTCACAGATCTCACTGCATGCCACATCGTTTGTGAAAACAGCAAAAGAGCCACTGGACTAGTCAACAACGGCAGAGAGTGACAGATTTAGTGGGTCTGGAATAAAGCCCGGAGGCAGTGGAGCAGGTGAAATTGTTCCAGCAGGTAGAGATCAGTGCAGGAGAGATAAAGCACACAGCAACAGCCTGCTGGCCACGCATTAGTCTCAGCTCACTTACAGTACAACCCATTTGAAAGGCTTGATCAAATACTCTTAGCCGTATCCAGACGGTGCTACAACCGAGTGATGAGCGCACGACGACTGCTTTGTTGTTGTTTCATTTACAGTGTATGAGTAATTCAAGTTTTGTATTTATCAGCCTCTTAAAAATATTCTAAAGCATTTTTCTAAAGCCTGTCCAAGTGTAGGATTCATCATTATCTGTGATTGTTCCCTCACTCCATACTGTGAAGTGATCTTCTTTCAAATGCAATTTCACTATAGGACAAGGAGGTCAAAGTCCATTCTTCATTTACAACTAAACAGAGAGTCTGCAGCCACACTACAGGCTCTGTGGTGTTGCACTTAGCAACAGCGGTGCTTTGAACTAATGCTTACATGCTGATAATGTTCACCATACCTTGTTCACCTTCTCTGTTTAGCATGTTAGCAAGCACACATGAGTTAATTAGCACAAAACAGAGAGTACAGTTAAGATGGATGGGAATATCCTTAGTTTTAAACCTAAGTATTAGACACATTGAAATGTTGACCTGTAGATGGGGGCACTAAAATGAAATCGCCAGTTGATCAAAAAAATTAATCCTGAGAAAAACATTAATGTCTTCCAAGACTTTAGTAAAAAGAAAACTAAAATGTCAACCTCAAGTCTAGATAGAAGACATTTCAGAGTCTTATTAAGGTCATTCAAATGAATCGTCTGTGGACCATGAAAATCTGTACAAAATGTCACGGCAATTATTTGTATATCATGTATATATTATATTATATATTATAATTTAGATATGTTATGTAATGAACCAGGTAACCAACCAACCAAGACATTGCCATCCCCAAAGCCTTGATGCTAGCATGAGTAGAGAGACATTTATTCAACAGCTAATTTGAAGCAGTCTAGGTAAATAAAATATTTCAAGCACATTTTCTATGTGGAGAATTATCTCTTTGTGTTTCCCTACTCAGTGTTGCTAATCTGCGTGAGTTCATTTTGTTTGAAAACATGGTCAAATTATAAATACCTAGTTTACTGAGACTGGTTTGAATGTTAGAATAAGTGTATACACATAGCGGCTGAAATGTTCATTGAAATCATATAAGAAAGGTTTTGTGAGAAATAGGAACAACAATGGCAACCAATAACTACACTGAACAAAAATATAAATGCGACACTTTTTTTTGCTCCCATTTTTCATGAGATGAACTCAAAGATCTAAAACATTTTCTATATACACAAAATAACCATTTCTCTCAAATATTGTTCACAAATCTAAGGTTAGGGTAATGTTGTGAATCGAGTGGCCCATGGTGGTGGTGGGGTTATGGTATGGGCAGGCGTATGGTATGGGCAGGCGTATGTTATGGACGACGAACACAGGCCACTCGATTCACAACATTACCCTAACCCTAACCCTCACACCAGATACTGACTGGTTTTCGGACCCCCCCAGACCCCCCCAAATAAAGCAAAAATGCACATTTCAGAGTGGCCTTTTATTGTGGCCAGCCTAAGGCATACCTGTGCAATAATCATCCTGTCTAATCAGCATCTTGATATGCCACACCTGTGAGGTGGGATGGATTATCTCGGCAAAGGAGAAGTGCTCACTATCACAGATTTTTTCAGATTTGTGAACAATATTTGAGAGAAATGGTTATTTTGTGTATGTAGAAAATATTTTAGATCTTTGAGTTCATCTCATGAAAAATGGGAGCAAAAACAAAAGTGTTGCGTTTATATTTTTGTTCAGTGTATTTCACTGAGGAGTGTGTGTAAGCATTGTTCGAAGGCAGACAGTGAAAGATGTGAGCGCTGACACACCGGATTTGTGGTTAAGCTGTTGGTTAGCTTTCAGTCCAGTCACTCTACTTTCTCTTTCCTCTCTATGGTTTTCAGCTTCGCGCTGTCGTTACGATCCCTCATCAGACATGAATGTACTTTACACCCTTCTACACACAAAAGCTGTTTGTATTAACATGCAAATGCTCGCAGACAGAAAAACACACACATTGAAGGTCGCGGCAGGCAGTGTGCAGAGAGTCTCTGTACAGGGTGTCTCTCCTCTCTCCTCTCACCGTCGGTAAACAGTGCAGCTCATTGGTGCAGAACTCAGGAGCCAGACACTCACCTATTGAACAGACCGAGTTCCCCGGCCTCAAATAGCCGCACCGTGCCAACCCTTCATTGGATTCAGTAAAGCCCCAGTGTATGTTCCCCCAGTGTATGTTGCCCCAGTGCGGCGCTCATGCTGCTTCTCTAAGCTTGTTTTATGCTCAGGAAAAGTTCTGTGGCACCGTTGGGGATATGAACGTTTCTTTAAGGCATTAGGTGTCAGAGGGAATTCCACTACAGACTAAAATAAACATGGACGCTGATGTTGTGACGACAGCATAGCACCCAGTTTGGCTGCTCCTGCCGTTTTGCAAAACCCTCAGATGCTGCTCCGGCTATAAACTGTGCTCAGTGTGTTGAGCTGCTGTAACGGGTTGTTGCTCTTTCACATCTGCAAATAATCAGATAGGAAGAGAAAAAATTGATTTGTTGGCTCGAAAAGGATATCTGTTTCATCGCTTAGTTAGATTTCACAACACTTCACTGCAGTTGCGGCTGCTACTTCATCTCTACAGTCATAAATAATATGTTCCATCCATTGATTTCTTTGCTTTTATTTACACATCCAAGCTGCTAGTCTTTAAAACATTTTTGCGGCTAACTCTTCCCCCCAATCTATCATCTGCTCAGAGAGATGGTGTGTGTGTGTCTGATATCGTTTTACATGGGTTTTAATAGTCGCACCCTTTGCCTTAGCTACTATGTAAATCAACGCTTTTAATAGAACTAACACAAGCCCTTACTGTCCAAAGTTACGCTAGCTCTAGAATAAAAATGTTCCAAGTTAGCATTTAGCAACATTCAGTTTTGTGTACTACTGTTCTCTGGCTTTTCATCTATTATTCATCCTGTTGAGTTGTAGGGAATGGTTTGACTTATTAACCCCCTTACTAACAGATGAGAATATCAATACCAATATATTTTCATTGATTATGAGGCTACAACCGATTAGCAGCCAATTGGCTTTGCTAAGCTTAGCAATACTGGAAACTGGAAAAAGAGCATTCAAAGGCTAATCAAACGTATATCCCAGCACTTCTTAAGCTAACTTATCGAGACATTATTTCTTATTTGTCTTTTTATTTTTTTTAATGAGTAGAGTTAGTCGGTTTGCCCCAATTTCCAGTCTTAATGCGACGCTGAGCTAACTGGCTGCTAGCTTTAGCTTCATATTAAGTTTACTGAGAGTTGTAATCTTCTCATTTGATCTTGGCAAATAAGTGTAACAGGAACAACATGAATTTATAAAGAATGACACAACAAAATCGTGGCAAAATGTTTAAACTTATAACTTTTTTACAAATAGCTCAAGTACTAGCTGAATGACCAATGCTGATTTTCACACAATTAACATGTTTTTACAATACTAACTTAAGTTGAATAACCCTATTCAACCAAAGTTGTTTTTTAGGTTGTTGTAACCATGGTTATAATATCACTGACAAAGATGCTCCGTAATCTCTTGGTTACAGTCAAAAAGTTATTTTGGCCCACTTTGAAATACCTATATTACTCATCGACCCTAATGAGTTCCCCGAGGCAGAGTGGACACACACTATGTCTGAGAGCGCCAGTGTACACACAGCAGGCTCCCAGGCTCAGATAAACCCAGCAGCTACACACACACTGAATATCTGCACAGGTGACATGTCACACATACCTGCCGTTCTTTTTTAACCTAATGCAGAACTACTCGTGTGACTTTTTAAAAACAGATGTGAGCAAACACAGGTAGTAACACTTCCTCTTCATGTTGCCGCTTAGATATCAGGGGTCATTTGCGCACATACACAGCAAAGCTTTAAATAGTAACATGGTGGCAGAGATTGAGAATGTCAATACTGTAATGTAATATTTGATCTTTTATTGAATTGCATTATACAGGCTTCACGCCCCCCTTTTCACATAGTGAATCTATTTTTAGAACCATGACAGCGAAAGTTTCCATTTCAACCCCCTTCCTCTTCTGTTGGTGTGTATACACACACTTTAATCATCCCAGCAACAGGGAGGAACGGCCCTTACATACAGTAGTTCTACCTCTAGTGGTTACTCAACATTATTGCAGCATTTATCTGCCTTCAATGCCTTGCAGAAAGATGTCAATGGAACCAAAATGCTTCTGTCAACCTTATTTCAGGATCAATTTAACTTTGTGTTTTTAACAATAATTTGAAATGTTATTGTGAATCAAATGTATTGATCCTTTCATTGTCTAACATCTCTCTTTTTGTTTGCTTTACAGTGAATGAGATCATAAGAAAGGATCTGACGGGCGTTCAGGCGAGAGGGCAGACATAGAGGCAGGAAGTGACAACACTCCCCCCCCTCCTCCTCGACACACACACGGACAGATGCACACACACACACACACACACGGTCTCCAACCTTCCAGTGAGGTGACGCACATCCACAAACAATCAGACCTTCTCTTCCTCCTTTTCTGTACCCATAGACATACAAATATCAGCTGCTGTGTTTGCTTTGGATTTTTATATTTTCCTGCAATAAACAGTTTAATTTGGCAAGAATTTATTTTGACTCACAACGTCTGCCACCCAGCAGGTTTCCAGCAAACCGATGAAAAACAACAGGCGAACTGCTTCATATTTTATTTTATTTTACAGAGGAATAAAGAGATAACATGTGGGGAATTAAATGTCTCCCCTTTTGAATTGCCTTAGCCATTCTGTCCAGGCAATAAATACCTGATTGACTCATACATGTTGGCCTGATACTAGTGAATGACTCTCATGTAGCAGCTGTTATACATTTGTAGTAAACTAGTTGGTAAACAGCTTCAATTCATACCAAAAACGATATAACAAATCACTTTTGCTAAACACCTTTTTCATTCTTCTTGCACAAAGTGTGTATTTAATCTGTGTGTAACTCAATATGCAGTTTTACATGGGAACATTGTCCAAAGCTTACATGCTGATCATCTCATTTTAAGTGCAGTTTTCTAATGGAAGTGAAGCGCACACTGCCTTAACCATAAACAAATGAAATATTGTGACACCTCCTAGTATGCACTGTTTTTAAAAACAGGGGGTCAATGTTATAACTTTTTTATATAATTTTTGTGAATAATGTGCCAATTTATATGCGTAAAATATATATTGCATTATATTCAGGTTATAATGCCAAAGTGGCTTCACAGGGGCCTGTCATGCTACAGCAATAGCTTGTAGCATAACTTTTTGTAATGGTTTATATGCTTTAGTTCATTAGTTTTCAGACATTGATTTTAAAATCTGGCTAATGCAAGCTAAAGTGAGCAACTTTATTGTGTCTATTTGTATTGCTTATCAGTTGAAAGCAAGATATCCCAAAGCTTAGTGTATTGTTTTGTGTATAGTTGAAATTTGAGTCTATCCATAATGACAGTTGCTGTATTCAGAAGCTTTAATCTTGCCAATGTAAAGAGCTTTCATATTTTCTGTAATTGTCATTATACTTTATACACACTGTACGCACAGAAGGGAAGCGGTGTGTATAAATCATGGGCTAATACAGCTTGGTTTGATTTAAAAAAAATTAAAAAAGAAAGTGTATTTTAATAGAATATTTTTCTAAGATTTCACTGAGTGAATTGGAGTACATTGAAAGTGCCAAGTGCAATTTTTTTTTATTGTAAAAAAATGTTGAAAATGAAGTAAAGCATATACAAATGTAATTTTAAAAAGAAGTTAAATTGTAGGACTGAATCTAATTTTTTTAAATATTTGATATGGACCTATTCGATAGAAAAATAAAATGAGAATTTATTTTGTAATAATTTTTATTAAAGCTTATATTGATCTATTCATGATATTTCTTATTGAGCCAGTGCATTTGACATTTCTTGAATGTAATCTATATTAAATCATGTTTCCCCTTTTCTGTAAATATGACATACAAATTGTGTTGCCTTAAAGTTTCAGTAGACGCAAATAGAAGTAAATTGTTGTCTTTCAAGTATTTTCCATGTTTTTCTGTTATCATATCATTTATCTGTTTGATTACAATGTAAAACGTTTTCCCTAAAACTTTCACTTTAATAGTTTTTATTTTTGTTTAGTAATTTGTTATTATAATTGTATAGTCTTTAGAGAAATCATTGTTAATGATAAAGTTTTTTAATACTGTTTTATTTGATGTGTTCATAGTTGTCATGTATTGGTTTCATTTTGAGTCTACTGGACTTCGTGCCTTCTTAAAAAATCTCTGTTTTATGCTATTTTTGTTTCCGTAAAAAGTAGCAATAAATAATAACCATATACATCATGATTGTCCTTGTTTCAATGGGGCCCCAAGGAAGAAATGTGTGGGAGAGAAAACTCCCTCTTGTAGCCTTTGCAGACCATTTACATGCACATAAACCATTATAACACACTACAGGAAAGGGAAAACCCCAAAAAGCACAATAGGTCCCCTTTTTATTTATCTTTCCCCAGCATTGACTCTCATGAATATTTAACATGCATTCAGGTCCTGAGCCCAGATTTGACGTTTTCAGATAATAGAGAGTGTGTGTGCAGCTCAGAGGTGTCTCTTCACTCTCTATGCTCCTATTATGAGAGGAACATTGAAATATAGCAGACCCACAGTAGACACTGACTCATCACAAGCTTCTGAGCAGACAGACTAAGGGAAAATCAACATGTTTCTTTATAATTTATATAATTTGACATACAAAAAATGAACTTAAAAGTTTGAATTGGTTACATGATGTGCTATTTACATAAACACACATCCGTGTACAGTAGGCACACAGTTTCAAACTGCCCATTCCTTCCCTTTAATAACAAACAACTAAAAGGGGACTCTCATGCCCGGAGGCTGCAGTTGCCATGGAGACGGCTTGTTTGGGATGAGGTTTCTGTGAATGAACCCTGTGTTCAGGAAGTCTCTTGTATGACATCACCACGGGTTAAAACGCAGCACGTGGGTCTTCTCAAAGCCCCCCCCCCCCACACACACACAGATCTGCAGCGGTGACTCATGCGCCCTTTAGCTCCATATGCTGTAATGAGTTCGGAGCAAATACTGCTTTATGTGTGAAATCCAACAAGAATGAAATACATGATGAACTTGGCATTTCATTCATCTCGCTTTTGTGTAATTCAGTTAAAAAAAAGGGGGGTCTGAGCTCATCGGGACACAAAGGGCATGAAGCTGAACAGGCCAACGTCATCACTGTCAACTGTTGATTACATCTTAGGCCCAGACACACCAAACTGACACCAAAGAACACGTCCCGACCTATGCTTTATATATACAGTCTATGGTCCCGACGGAACACGACTGTTGTGTCGCCTCACGTCTCCTGCGTCTTGGCCAACAGTCGCACTGACACACCGCAAAGACTTCAGCCGACGGCCAAGTAGCACGTACGAACTGCGCATGCGTGAGTGGCAATAACTCTCCTTACCAGCAGGCGAATGAAGGTTTAAAATAATGTCTAACATTGGTTGTATGTCCTTGTACCCAGCTTTGTTAATCCTAATACACCTTTGCTTTTAATGTAATATATAAATTTCTACATATGTATTGCTGTTTGCTGTTATTGCTGTTCCACATTAAAACAATTATGTAAATATCATTATTCTTTTTTATTTTATTTTCTCTTTGCATTGCACACATTTATGCATTCATATTTTATTCATTTTTGTTTTACTTTTATTGCACTTATTGTTACTTATTCAAATGGAAATTAATTTGTATCTTCCTCCTTTTTGTATAATCTTGTTTTACTTTAATCTAAAATGAAGCAACTATCACAGAACCCAATTGACCCCATCGGGATTAATGAAGTATCTGGATTCAGATTTTGTATCTAAATTTAACAAAGCACATTTACGTAATCAACGCATCAATAAATATAACAGTATCATATTATTCTGAAATGGGCCATACTGCATAATGAGTACTTTTACTGTTGGTACTTTAAGTATGTTTTGTAACAGAGTATTTTTAAACTTGAGTCTTGCTACTTTCACCTAAGTAAGAACTCATTTCACCTCTGATTTTCCAGCCATTTCCCCCAAACCATGCCCTTTGATACAGTGTTAAAAAAGGAATGAAGTATTTTTATTTTAAACGTCAGGGTTAGCTTCAGAGCGGCAGTATAACGGGCTGTTTGTGAGGAATAAAGATGACATTGTCCGTGTGCAGACACTTCCACATCATTTTCTCAGAGACGTGAGTCAGTTTCCTTCAGTCAGCTTCAGGTGAGTAAATTCCCCTCTGGACGCTAAAGTAGGACGTTTTATTGAGTTTATTAGGGTGGAGGGAATTTACATCAAAAAATTATCCAAATAAAGGCAAGGATAAAAATGTGATGAATGATGTTGTTGTTAGTCTAATGTGTTCATGTGCTCATTGAGCAACAAGCTTCTTAATTATTTAGTGGTTAGGTTTAAAGTTATTTGACCCGTGAGAAACACTCAGGGGGGAATTGCAGGATGCAGTTTGATTCGTTTTCCATGTGAACTGAATGATGAAAATCCAGACATGTAGGAAACGCTGTATGTACAATAAAATGACCGTGCCTATCCTCTGCTTGAGTAAAAGTACTAATACCATAGTCTAAATGTACTTCATTACAAGTATAGATCTAATTTCAAAATGTTTCTTAAGTTAAAATGAACAGAAGTATTCTCAGCTACAAGTAAAGTAGAGTACTCATTGTGCATAATGGCTATTATAAAAGTGTATTACTACGGCATATTATATCAAGGCAGATGATATTGCATCCGGGTTAACTGTCTAAAAATGTGAATATAATTAATTTACAGTCCATATTGCAACGTACTGTACACACACTTTTACTCAGTTTGTATCATTAGAAAATACATGTATTTTATACATCAATATGAAGAATTTTCTTTTTGAAAGTGTATTTGTATTTAATATATTAAAAAACAGCAAGTGAAATAAATATGGTGGAGTAGAAGTACAGAGTAGCAGAAAATGGAGATACTGTACTCCAGTAAAGTACAAGTACCCCAAATGATACTTGAGTACATTTTCTCAGTTATATTCCACCACTGCTCATACCCTGTGCTACAGTGACAGCTAGTGTAATAAGAGGAAATTAAAAGTCAGTCGTGCGCTCTGCTGACGCCCTGCAGGGGGAGACAGGGACGCGGAAATGTGATTTAACAACACTAGAATCTGTTCAACCGCACTCAGTGAATCAAGAGACATTATCAAACAGAAGTGCGACTCTCTCAGTGGAGGAATGGGAATACTTCAGCGCTGTGTATTGTTAACTCTGAACTGGAAAAATCAGTCCCTTAAGAATTGCAAATTGAATGTTATTGAGTGAGTATTATAAAAGCGTCTTTGACTAAACAGCTGCATGCCTTATTTAGCTTT